GAATCTTTGCTCATAGGATAATCTACACCCAACACAACACAAGCAATAGGAATGACTCATCACCACTAGTACCAGAGATATGCAAAACGCTACTACTGTGATGAGAGCTGGCTGCTAGCTAGCCAAAGTTGGTAGACAGTAATTGACGTGAATGTTTATGTCGCCAATATTGGTGGTGAGAAAATGAGAACAAAGGCTTTGCGTAGGCGGATACAGTTAGCATATGGATGATCTGACACAGCCACAAAGAGATACAAGGTTAACTTTCTGTGAGAAACAACGAGTCAAAAGACTGTATTTTCTACTAACAATAATCTACAATAATGTACATTAAAATCTCTAAATATGTGTTGATTTTCCTTAATAAACGATCTGTTGCCTGACCCCTGTCTTCTGTTATTACACTACTACTACCACCAATCATCAAATCAAGTGACGAAAAATAATGGAATTATTATGCACAAAGTGAGAAGGGGTTGTATGAGTAGTGCCTCGATATTGATTATGAGGAGTAATGAAGATTGGGATCGAAACGTGGTCGTCAGTAAGTAATATTAATGTATAACACTGTGAAACTGTATCAAACAAATTTACTCTTTGGTGGAATTATACCTACCCAACCACATGGATCAAGGTGGTCTGTTCTTATATCAGGCTTTCATTACGATATATTAAGTGTGTGTAGCAGATGGAACAAGATCGGAGTATTTACCTTTTATTTTTAAATTAGTCAATGTTTCTGTATGGTTCAGGGAATTGGCACATGAGTCACCAGAAACATCTCCATCAGTTCACCGCTACTGACTTTCACCAACACCTGAGTTCTCTAGATATCGAAGATCACATAGTCGGACAGATAGGATAATCCTAATGGTATGGTATTCTGGCAGATAGTGAACCAGCTGATAAATATGCAGAACTAATAGGGAGATGAATGGATTGGACATACGCTGAGAAGACCGTTGCATGATATAACACGTTAGTTGTTAGGCGATCGAGTGGAAACCGAATGGAAGTGACGAATTGGCCATGAGTACGAAGGGAACTTGGACAGCAAAATGAAAGCGTGTGGGCATTCGTAGAGCCAGTTGATAGTGATATCAAGCATATATAGAGAAAAAAGAAACATGTTGAGTTGAGAAATATATTCCTTTTCAATTACTTCCTCATCATCCACTGGCTCTACACTAATATATAGTCGCTTTTTACATCAAAATGTTTCACCAATCTAGGGGTTATTTTAGTCCATCAGTTCTAAGTATAAGCGGAGGGTGATAAAATTAAGAGGTTGAAAGTCATCAGAACATCAATTAACTAATAGATGTCGCTAATAAGATATCTAAGTTTCTAGGGAAGGAGGGTTGAATATAACTACGGAATTCAAGAAACGTCAATTCTTAGGCGTTAGAAACAAATTATTACATAATCAAGAAATTTGTAAAATAGCAATGATGACTAGGAAGAATTACGTAAAATACAAACAAGTTAATAGAATTAGCTAGCACTGTAAAAATTAATCCCAGAAGGTGAGTACTGCCAATGATTCCCAAACTAGGATAAAACAGCTGTCCAGCACTCCAGTACTAGTTTTCAATGGTTCTCTAACTCATATTAATCCGTGATCAACTCGTAAAAACTAGCAAGATTTTGTTAGAGTCGATTTGATGTTCAGTCAGTATCGACGAGATGAGCTAGTATTGAGCTGCATATAGCAGCTTTATTCGGACCTTTGCCAAACCAAGATGGGAGGTGTTCAGAAATTCGACGATTCGATGAACTTGGCTGATCGTATGCCCTATGTAACTAGCTCCACACGGAAAGTTAAACTGAAAAATACACAAGGTTAGTTTGTCTTCAATTCTTGAACTGAATATTGGTTGCCTAGTGAATATACAGCAAAGCTTAATTTCGTTGAAAGTTCTTCTCAAGGCCCTTCTCAGACATTGTGGTAAGATCTCGCTATTGACATCACCCATGAATTGTAATCTTGGGAAGATTGAATTTTTGGGTACAGTTGTCAACTTTGACTTCTTACTTTCTGAGTTCAAGTACTTGTCCACGAATTTAGTCGGATATTCGTTTCTACTTAGTAGATCACGAATGTAGCTCGGCGAACCAGACATCTTATCGGCTTACGTTTGTAATGCAGTGGTTCGAAGCTCAGGAAGTGAGTATAGTGTCTAGTGGGAGTGGGTTTTCCATACAAGCGTGTGCATTGTTATGTGGGTAGATCCGATGACAATGACTCGTATTTCTTCGCTATATATCATGGATCAGCAGAAATTGTTATTCGTGAATTGGCCACTGGATCAGTTCCCAGTGAATGAATGGTGTACGAGCACACCTAGTACATAGAAGGTACAAGGTTTGCCCCGGTAAGTGAGTACCCATGAAGAGTCCTAAACTAAGACGAAACAGCTATCCACCAATCCATGCGGTCAAATCTGTCCCAGTCAAATGTCACGTCTTACTATCTTCTCTCAAATTCATTTTATTTTGTACTAGCCACTGAATTGACACAATTTACAACCTTCAACTGAGGAGTCAGTTTTCCTGCCCTCCATTTTTTTCTATTAGGTTGTTATTATTGCTTGGAGGATATTTTTATGTATTTATGTCACCACCATATCACAATGTTTTTTGATTGCATTCAGCCCAGCACTTTTGGTCATCCCATAACTAATCTGTTATTCAATTTAAAAATATAACCATAAAAGGATAACTGGCTATTGTTATATATTAATATTAATATACGTATGAACTGTGATCAAGAATGGACCGGATATTATACATAATATAATATACTTTCTAACAGTAAGAACATGAATAGGAGTACCTATTCAAGGGGATGTCGATCGGGCAGACTGATTTTCTCTAATCCATGATTGGAAGAGAATGTGTGATAGGAAATGGCCTTGTCATTTGAAGGTCGTACAATCTATCATGTGATTGGCTAGTGTAAAATAATATGCATGATAGGGGGGATAGTAGGACCGAGGTGACTGGATCATCACATGATGTGATCTCACCAATAGGAAGTGTGAAAGTGTGTAATGAAAAAATACTATATAAAGTGTTACGATATAACCAGTCTGTTATTGTACGTGAACAGGAATCCGTCAGATTGCTCACTACTATTCTGTCTGGTGGTAGATACTGACTCTACTAATAATATATATTCAACAATCACAGAACCAAAATCCTCTTCAAGTCATTATACCGCGATATATTGTTCAAATTTAAATCACAGGACTAATCAATCTACGGTGGACGAGTTTATCCAGTTGGAAGTGAGTGTTTCTGTCTTTGCTCGATGGATAATTAATTGCGTTTTGTATTTTCACTTTTTCATTGCGATTATTACACGACCCCACTAGATGACTCACTATACTGGGTGGGTATATTTTTCTGTAGTAGAATGACATTTCATTTTTATATGATGATGATGATAATGTAATCGTAGGGAGGTTGTTTATATTAGGTCACACTTGTCGTTAACTGATATTTTACACATCCACAATTGTTGTTATTTAGATTCCGTTTGGTTCTGTGGTGAGCATGGGTCTTCAGCAGTACATCTCCATATTTGTCCTGCTCTCCTCTATGCTCGTTAACTGGCCCCACGATTAGCTCAAAGCTTACTCAAAAGTAGTTTCTAAAATAAATCAAAGTGAGAAAAAAACAACATGATACCTGAATGACACAACTGAAGAGCAGGTTGTTCGATTAGATAAGGTGAAAAAATTGTTATTCGTTGAGAAAGTAAGCTGATAGTGAGTGGAGTGTACACTTGACAGATGTAAATGAAATGAGAAAGTGTACACAAGGAAGGAATATCGAAGAGTGATAACAGTGAATTAATTAATTGGTTGGTTGGCGGATTTCATCATGCGTTGAAATCGGTTAGCGAACCATTGGTAGCCTGGGAGTATTGCGAGATTGCTGTTTCGTCCTAGTTTGGTACTCTTCATAGTGCGCCCTCGGAGACGACCGCAAGCGAGGTGAAGACCATGGACTAATAAGGGACTGGACCTAATCTATCTGTATACAGTGATTGAGGTCACAGGATGGTGCTTAACAAGGGTTGGAGTTTCTGTATATATATATGTACATATATATATATATATACATGGCGAAGACGCTCCCGACTTATCAATATAACTCCGAAGCCAGAATGCTGAAGGTTTTGTTTTGAGTCTCTTATTCTATTCCAGTGTTTAGTTCTTTCCTAATCCAGATTTGTGGAAATTTAGGGTTGGTTTCAATTCTTATATTCGTGTCAGGAAGAAACATGAGTTCGAGAGGTTAATGAAAGGCGGGGAGTATTCGACAGCTGTTTTGTAAGCAGCTTGGACTGCAAACACGGAGGTTCAGGGTTCGGTTCTCCAAACTGTCGTGGGTTCACACTGCTAAATAGTACCGTATTAGGATGACAGAAACGGCTGTCCAGTGCTCCCTGTCTGCCTCTCAATTATCTCTGTAACTGTGATATTGGTTCTTGACGTGGATCTAACTATCTGACTAACAATTGGGAATCTTTCAAATTGTTCGTTCATTTCTGTTTTTATAATGAATTAAATGGCTGGTTGGCGGATATCATCATGAGCTGACAGCAGTTAGAGAAGCATTGGAAAACCGACAGGCATTACTGGACGGCTGTTTCATCCTAGTTTGGGACTCTTGATCGGTTGTCCAGTACTCCCAGGTTTTCCAATGGTCCTCTAACTGATGTTAGCTCATGATGAAATCCTCCATGCAATCTAACAAATATCCCTACAAAACCAATACTTGATGTATATATATATATTGTCGGTTTTCCTTTGGGTTGTCGGCTTGATTTTTTCAATGTTTCTGCTCTGTCGTTTATTTTGTTTAAAATTTTTACTCAGGTAGGATAATTTATTTCATTGTTACGTTGTTGAGGATAACACTGCTTTCCTTGAGTAATTGGACGATTTCTTGTCTTGGTAATTTCCTCTGAATCAGGTGAGATCCAATCAATGAAGAGAACATTAACGCCGGTCGATCTGAATATCCGCAACATCATGCATGTAAGTGGTGCTCGTAATCCCTAGGTGGTTATGGTTTTGAATGGTGTTGTTGTTTTTTAAACTACTGGCACCATTTTCATCTAAGAATATTTAAGTGGGTAATTTTCTTTCTTTGTATTACCGTGACTTCTCAGACTTACTGTTATGCATAAAATGAGATGCATTTTAATGCGTCGGATCTGATGAGGACTCCTCATAAAGATTTGATTAGAGTTCTTTTTAACAGAAAAAAAATGTGATTATATAATTGTCCAGTGTTGCGTAATGTGATCTCAGCAAGTGTGATTAAACAAGAAAATAGTGAGAGTTTGATGATATTGGATGGTTGGCAGCAATCGGCAGGGAGCCTTGGGAGCCTCGTGCTAGTTGTCTAGTTGGTCGTCAGGAAGGCTTGTGTGCAACCTTGAAGGAAGTCAGGTCGCTTCTGAGATTCGATGCTGCGTCACCCATTGTTGCAGTCGGGCTGACGATTGACCTCCTGTAAGACTGTAGTGCATTGTTTGATTGGACACTGGTAACTGGCGATTGCCTCCAACCATCTGATATCGTCAAATCAACGTGCACCGTGATGTTGAGCTACCTAGAATGGTGGCCACGTTGCAAACCTGACTGATAGAATTCAGTCTGCACAAGACAGAAAGGACTAGATGTACAACACTAGTTACTAGTGTCCAGTCAAACTATAGTGAGAGTTTCTCGACGATCTTCATCTTCTAGTTAGTATGGAAAATGTACTGTTAGAATACTTGAATATTATGAAGCGTGATTGAATACAGTCAGCATTTTGATCAAAATTCGTTTTTACAAAGAAAGGTTTCATTGTGTAATTCGTTGATTTTTTTCCTTTGAAGTGTAACGGAGGAGACGATGATGACGTAATTATGTTAGATGAAGAAATTCCAGCTAAAGTTATAGTTAAAAATTCCCAGAGCAGCACTGGTCACAGGGTTACGAAAAATGATGTCCGGTCGCAATTGAAGTCGGAGCAAACAAATATGTAAGTGTTAAATTGTTTGTTGTTGTTGTTAGTGTTTTGATATGTGCTTAAACCAAGAGATTTTAGCAAAAGAATTTTACATTGTTATTCCCTTGGTTGTATAGAACTTCAATAGGTCATTTCCATTTTGTCGTGTGTTCTGCAGTCGCCTTTACCCGGCCTCAATATTGCCCATAAGTTTTCATTTCCTCCGCACGCGGTTTCCTCGTTGCCGCTGTCGAACGCCCAAATGGTCATTTCCCACTCTACCGATGGTATCCTCTTTCCTTGCAAACACTTTGCATTAGTGTCGTGAGGATATCAGCTGTCGTCTCGTGATCTGTTTTCAATGCCTCAGAAGAGAACTCCGCGTGGTCCTGTTGTCTTCTCCACTTTTAGTAGCCTGAGTGCATCGGAGACTTGTGCATTGGTTGGAGGACTGGTATCCACTGACCAGTTGTTCTGTGGTTGTTGGTGGTATCTCTGGATGGATTGTAAGTGATGGTCAGTTGAAGAATTTTTGAAGTGAACAGCCCATTGTTTTCTTTGTTCGTCCTTTTTGGTAATGAGGTTCGGTTGGTGCTTTTTTATTGTTCTTATCTCACTTCTTTATTCACTGGATAGTGAATTGAACTTAGTTTCTCCTTTTGTTGTCCATATTTGTTACTGATGTTACTTCCCGCGTGACTTGTAAGGCGTACATTTCACCCTTAGGTAAATAAGAGGTAATGTTGTTGCATTTTTTATTGGTATATGGTTAAGTTTTAGAAAGATAAACTTGGTGCGTGAGGCAGTGAAGTCGGACTGGATGATCATATAGGGATACATCAACATATTTGTGTTCATTCTAGACCTATTAATCAGAAAGATTGAAAACTGCCTTCGATTTTCATTTTACCTAGAATTGAATATCGAATGTATCCTTGGTTACATATGAATGAGTATCATCATCATAGTTAATTTATTTGAATAATTCTAGTATTTTCTGCACTTCTGGTTTTTGTATAAACAAAGGCGACTGTGATGTTATCCTCCTGATGACGAATTAGTGTTCGGAGGCTGTAGTAGAAATTGAAGGTGTTGAAGAATGTCATATACACATTTGAAATGAAGGAGTTCCAAGGAAGGAAGTATACCTCACTGATCAAGGCACTGTATTCAAACTGACTCAGCGGTGTCAGTTCTTGTGGAAGTTTTCCATCTGAAGTGATGACAGTCGGTGGTGGCTATCAAGAATGCTCACCCTTCCCATTTTTGTACGGGGATGATATTGTCCTGCTAGGTGAAGACTCTGACAAAATGCAGAGTCTTGTGAACATTTTGGACAGAAATCTCGGAATATTTGGCGTGTGATTCTCTCCTTTGATATGTGAATGGATGTTGCAGGACTGCACCGCACCGCACCGCACCGATTCCAAGCTTAAATACTGGGAGTGAAGTAGTACAGCGTTTTGGCCACTTAACGACTTATCTGAGAAGTTGCATCTGATTGCCGACGAAATCTCGGTACGGATACAAGAGACTGGTGTGGGATTCTCTAAGTTGCGTGGTATCTGTCCATCGATCAAAATACGTGTATACTGCGCAGTACTTCGCTGTCTCCTCCTCTATGTCTGTAAGACATGACTATTGAGAGTGGGACATATGTGAAGAAAGGCTGGCTGTCTATGACCGATCGACAACCACCACAGGTGTTTGCATTGTATTTCCCATGTTAGGTGGTATAATATGGTGAATACTAATGAGACTAATCTTAGAGTGTTAGGCAAGAGGGGTAAGTGCATCGATGAGGTTGTTAAGTTATGTCGATTGAGATGGCCAGGGCATGTGTTGGGCATGATGAACCATCGCCTTCCTCGTCGAAGAGGAATGTTAGCTGACATCAGTTTAAGTTGGAAAAGGATTTTGGTTGGTTGGTTGAGTCGACACCTAACTATAGTCTGTGACGTTTTTGACTATTACTTTGAGCCAGCCACATAGTGATGTGTAGATTGTCGCACTTGAGTCCTCGGAGTATTAAGAGCCAATGGTTGGTGACCATTGGAGATTTGGCTGAAAATCGTTCTCCTCAGTGTCGCGGGTGTATTCACTGTTTGCCATCTGGCATATCCAGTAAACCCTAGTGATTTCTCCATGTCGCAATTCTTTCTCCCGTACATTTCTGCTACATTTCTGTAGTCTCTTTTGTGTGCTACATGGAGTGGTGGAGTGTGTAAATTTGAAATGTTACATTTTTGCGTTATTTTCTATGTTAAAACTGAATCAATCAATTTTTCCGGATTTTGTAGGATTAGGTTCATCTCGTCAATATAGTCTTGTTTATTGATTAGAACAACTAACTGTCAAACCTTTATCCGATCGTAATGTTGCTATTTGGTGAGTATTTTTGAGATGTTTAAGTGCTAGTGTTCTAGTGTTTTCTGGCAGCATACAGCCTACAGCAACAATGTCAACCGCTTTTCATTAGCTTTGAAGACACCAACCGACCCGACCAACCAAGCCTATCTATCCTCACTGATGATTATATATTCTCTTATGATCTGTCAGTTGGTTGGTTGAATATATATGAATTGTCAAATTGTAATTCAGTATAAATTGTCTTGGTGAACTTTCTTCCGATGTGTGAAAGTCAAATCCAGTCAGTCGGGAGTGTTTCACAATTGAAAGAAAATACGAATCAAGTATAAACAAATCTGATGCTTAGAAACTGAACTCTTGAAAACTAATATTGTTTCCGAATCTTACATTGATTTTATTCAACTGACTAATCATCAATATTTACTCATGTATATAAATGAAGCAGGAGAATTGTGTGAGTACTTACTGCCTTGACTTGATATGATTATGAGCAATAATGAAAATTGTGCTCGAAAGTTGGTCATCAGTAAATGTTACTGCATAATAAATACTGTGTGACTTAATCATGAGAATAGAATTTTATCCATAATAGAATTACCACCACCAAGGTATGTTAAGAGTAATAATAAATTGTTTTTGAACACACAGTGAGGAGCTTAAATTTGCGAATAGCTATCGTCCCAACCCGTTTCAAAAAAGCATATAGAAACTACATGAGCAAAGGTTAAAATGTGTATGGTATGAGCTTGGTGGTGGTGGTGGTGGTGGTTTAATCGCCAAGCCCGTCAGCCCTGCCAACTGTGTGTACAGAGATAATATTTTATTATTCTAAACCTACCTTGGTAATCCTTATCTCATTAGACAGATAGATAACTAACAATGATGTCTGGTCACAACGGAATCTTAAGTCAGAGGAAACAAATCTGTAAGTGTTAAATTGTTCGTTGTTGTTGTTGTTGTTAGTGTTTTGATATGTGCTTAAACCAAGAGATTTTAGCAAAAGAATTTTACATTGTTATTCCCTTGGTTGCATAGAACTTCAATAGGTCATTTCCATTTTGTCGTGTGTTCTGCAGTCGCCTTTACCCGGCCTCAATATTGTCCATAAGTTTTCATTTCCTCCGCACGCGGTTTCCTCGTTGCCGCTGTCGAACGCCCAAATGGTCATTTCCCACTCTACCGATGGTCTCCTCAGAGTGTCAGATCCACTTCCACTTTCTGCATATTTGTGTTGACCAATGGGTTGTTGATTGTTTCGTCACCGGAGTTCGTTTTTGCTAATTCTTTCTCTGCAGCCGTCTGATCTTCGGTCTTGAGCCAGAGAAGGCAGCTGTTAATAAAGTTCTTTAGTGTCCTGTTGTGGGAATGCTTTTCGTCAGGTGTGAGTCAAGTTTCTGATCAATTTAGAGGGAGTGACTTAACATCGGTGTTGAAAATCGGGATTTTGTTGTTTATGTTGAATGCAGAAGATTTCTAAACTGATTTCAGAGTGATGAAGGCTGTTCTTGACTTAATCGTGACTCGGCCTGTAGTCGAAAAGACACTTTCTAGCTAGGTAAAGCAAGTGATGTCTTTCAAATGTCTTTCGTTGGTAGTGATTGGTGCTTGTTGTCGGTGGTTTGTTATCTGCACTACCGTCTTCTCAGTCTTCATGAGAAGTCGTGTATTTGGAGTCAGTGCCTTATGCGAGTTCGTCGGTTCCCGCCTGTAGGTCTTCGAATTTATTTGACAGACATAGATCACACACAAAGTCCACATTTTATAGAGTCCCCTCGATCTAGCGTACTCCTGTCTGCCCCCTTTCTGAAAGTCTCCCGCATAACCCAATCCCAAACAAGTAGGAATATCATCGGTGATAGTTTCTAGATCACTTCGTGGTCAAGGCTGTTGGAGGCCTGTTGAAAGCTGACGAAGTTAAGGTAGAGATTTGACTGTGGTTCTCTCCTGAGTTCGATGATTATTCGTAGGGTTGCAATTTTTCAGCTGATGATTTTCTTTCCGTGTATCTGGTGCATCTTCTAATCTCTCTAGGATGACGTGAGTCTTAATATCTCTCTTGTTGTGGAGAACGGCATGATTCTGCGTCAGTTCTTGCAGAGGAGTAATTTGCCCTTCTTTGGTAATTTAACGATGTAGTTTTTCATCCAATCGATAGGTACATTTCACTCTTTCCTTGCAAACACTTTGCATTAGTGTCGTGAGGATATCAGCTGTCGTCTCGTGATCTGTTTTCAATGCCTCAGAAGAGAACTCCGCGTGGTCCTGTTGTCTTCTCCACTTTTAGTAGCCTGAGTGCATCGGAGACTTGTGCATTGGTTGGAGGACTGGTATCCACTGACCAGTTGTTCTGTGGTTGTTGGTGGTATCTCTGGATGGATTGTAAGTGATGGTCAGTTGAAGAATTTTTGAAGTGAACAGCCCATTGTTTTCTTTGTTCGTCCTTTTTGGTAATGAGGTTCGGTTGGTGCTTTTTTATTGTTCTTATCTCACTTCTTTATTCACTGGATAGTGAATTGAACTTAGTTTCTCCTTTTGTTGTCCATATTTGTTACTGATGTTACTTCCCGCGTGACTTGTAAGGCGTACATTTCACCCTTAGGTAAATAAGAGGTAATGTTGTTGCATTTTTTATTGGTATATGGTTAAGTTTTAGAAAGATAAAC